AGGTGAACACCTGCTTGCTTTCCACTTCATCCGCCTTAGCAGCATCACGTCGTCTTCATTGCATCACCCAACATAGAGCTCATACGTTCACCAACTTCGATTCTAGTCTGCATCTGTGATTGTAATATGAGCCTCATCTAGTCAAGAAGGGAGCTAATCGTTTGGGGTCCCTGAGGCTGTGACGTCAGATCATCAAACCGGGGCAGTTGCCAGTGGATAAACCTGGACACACTGTAGTATGGTAACGATTAGAAAGTTTATTTTAACTTTTTTTTTTCTTGGCGTAATAATCAGCTTACTACACAAACTACTTTGTTGTTGCAGTTTATACTTAATTATGTAGTTGTGGTAGATCTGCAATGTTTATGTAGATATAGGACACACAAATTAAAAAAAAAAAAAAAAAAAAATTCCTGGGTGCTGTGACATGCCGATCATAAAATGTAATTGTAAATCCCGACTAGGTGATTTTGGAATTATTTCTGCTTGAAAAGAGAAGGGAGAGAGTGTAGTGTATGTTCTCTCTATTCTTATTGCTACTTTTACAGAATGAAAGACTTCAAGTCATTAACAAATGGTATAAGACCTTTACTGATCTGCAATAGTGCTTAGTATGTTATTCTAGAAAGACAAGTGTAATTGAACTTTCGGATATTATCTTGAAGATGATAGAATTGTCGGCAACTTACCCAACAGCTAAAATCCACATAAGTATATTTCTTCAGAAACTTTGTAACTTAAAAGCATCCTTTTCTTCAACAGATTTGGAGACGATGACAGTGATGATAATCAGCAAACTGCAGGTAAAGTATTAGAGTATGGTTTTTGTATCTACGAGGGACACATACCCTAATGATTATGTACAGTAAACGAAAAACACAAAAGTGAAGATGTACTTTTTGTGCTAAGCAATAGTAAGAGAAACCATCTCATATCAATAATACACAGACCACGAGTGCACGGATGGCTAGTGCTATTGAGCGGCCTGTCAACTGTGAAAGGAGAACGTGCTGCAGGTCTCGTAGAGATAGAGAAGTGTTGGTTCCACAGGCTTCTGTCAAGGCAGTTTATAAAGGCCATCGTAATGCAAGGTATGTTTTGAATGTTATTTTACCTCACTCTTATCTGATTACTTTTCATATATTTGGTAATTATTCTGATTTTTTTATTTTGATGGGGGGGGGGGTATTGTACGCTTTTAAAGCTCTTTCTGTCTATTTCTCATATTTAATACTCTGTTCCGAACTATAACAGAAGCTTGTTTTTGGGGAGACCTCCATGTCATGTCTGGATCTGACTGTGACGGTGTTTTTGTTGGGAACGAAGACAGGGAAACTATTATGCTTTGAAGCAGACCGGCATGTATACATGCCTGCACACCTCATCCACTCTAACCATTCGTGCCACATCAGGCATAGATTATGATGTAAAACCGGGCCTCCATGTGTGAAGAATCTCGGTTTTTGAGGAAGCAAAGGCCCTAGAGTTGTTATATTCAGGAATTTTTTATTTTCCTATATTCTTACCAAAAAGTGACTTTTTTGTTAGCTTTATTGATTCTTTTCATATTTTTTTAATCCTCTTTAATTTAATGTAGTTACTTTATAGAGAATGTCAGCATGTAATTCATAAGCACGATAACCTGGGGTTCACATCAAGGCTGTTGTTGTTTTCCAGGGACGTGGAAGTCACATCATGGGTGACATGACAAGGCTCTGTGGATGGTCATTCCTGTCATGTTACGACGATGATGCATTATATTTTATGCTATTTTTTTGTTAGGAACCCTCTGCCACACCACATTCCCCTGGGGTATGCTGAGGATAATGGGATGTGTAATGCTATGAGTGCCGTTGTTTTGTATTATTGGCCAATAGTAGCTCCTAAGTATTTGCTTGTCATACAGGAAGATGTCCTTCCCAAACATGATGCTCTCTGCTGATGTGAACAACATGTAAGTAACCTTCACTCTTGTTTACGTGATCTGTCTCCTTGGTGTCAGCTACTCACATTTGTCTTTTGGAACTCTGCATGTGACTGTCTTGAAGTATGACAAATAAGGGAAGTACGAGCTGTAGGGGTAGCAGCCTTGTTCATTACACATGAATCTCGAATTTTCGTAAAAATAAGATCGCGAGAACGTGATGAAAAAAAAAAATATCCTTCAAACAATTCATGTTCAATCTTGTACCTGGTGTGACTACTTTTATGTATTGAGATAGACACAAGTACATAATCATCTACTCAAGTTTGATCTCGTAACTAAAATGCATACCATGCAAAAAACTCATGTTTTGCATACACGGTTGATAAAAAATCTCACCTCACTTTGTTGGTTGCAATTAGGTGAGTGTCTACACACAGCCACATCTGAAAAAGGCCCCAGAGGCAAGCCCAGTTGGCGGTGCAGACACCTGGAATTGAAAGGCCAGGCAACCTCATTGTCTCCAGAGATGATGGTCAAATACTGACCTAAATAGTTTCGTAGATTTACAAGCAGATAAAGCTGCGTCACACAATTATTTACTTTGGCTCTTGATATTATGTGCATTGCTAACACACACTTTTATAATATGCTTGTTTTCTGTGGTTTTATACGGTTTTTGTTTACACATGACAAGTTCACAAACACGTCACCAATGTAGTTAATTTGCAGGCCACCTTGACTCCCCTCATTTTCCCATTTCTTGCCATTGTGGCAAACGAATGCATTATTAGCATTGTTATTATTAATATGTATTTTCTTGTTATCATTCTTAAAGCTTTAGACATTATACTAGTAAATAAAAATCACTTTCCTACTCAAAAACTTCAAAGATAAGTAACACTTCATCTCCGTTAGACCTTCGTATTGAGCACTTGGAGTTAAGAGGCAAACCATAGGTTATAATGCTGTATCATGCACGGCTGGCATCATGGATCAACTAGGGACAGTGACAAAGGTTCTTCATTTGTTATAGAAAATACCCATCATTCATGCAAATGAAAAAGTCTGTATGGCAAGAGATAAATTTAGTGAATATTATTTGTCCTGTAAATTCGGATATATACTGCATTTATATGGTGTGTAGAGAAAAATGGGTTTTATAATCTTATACATATCTTTTGGTAGTTAGTAACTACATACCTTTTATTGGACCAGCAAGTATAAAACTACTCTAATTATGCCTTTCATGTTATGATAAAAAATTCATTGCAAACTCAAAAGAGCAATAGATTACAATCACAGTAGCCCTTAATGATTTTAGAGATTTCTAGGTTTATACATATCCCCGACTTAAGAATATACCAAAGATATTACACGCTACTTGAACTGTGATCAACTTCCCCGATTAGTGTCCTGTTAGTGTTCGTTAGGATTCAGAAAGCTTTTCATATCAAGAAAAAGAAAATGTGTCATTCTATATACCGAAAATACTTTGTACTTGAATCCTGGGTATGCTCATAATTCCTGCCTTAGTTATTCTATTCAATATATATCCACGAATACTGTATGCAACGTAAAGATCATCTTTGTAAAATAAATGGGAGCACTGTGATAATTTCATTAATTTTTTAATTGATTTTCATATTTATTTACTATTTAATTTTTTGTATAGAATTAGAATTAGCTTACTTATTTTGTCTCTGTTCTTTCAAGATAACAAGCGAACGAAGCTTTGTTAGAGGAGACAAATCACATCACTGTCCTGCAACTTTCATGATAAGAATGCTAGCTTCTCTCAACCAAATTAGACGCGGCAGTAAGGATTTGAACTGATTTATTTCTAAGTATTGGATTACTTGCCGTGTCCTTTCATAAAAGGTCATGACAACCAATACGCCTACAATGTACTGTAATAGCTGATGGCACATCTTTTAACCCATTTGCGACGGGTAAAATGACAAAAATGGGAAAATGCTTGCTCATTTTGCATACTTCCTTGGTGACATGTTCCCTCGACCCATAATGGGCTCTGCCTTACCTGATTTCTTTGGCGGGAAAATGTAGTTTTTACTGGTGCTATGAATACAATTGTTATTTTTATTATACACCTATAATTACTATAATGTCTAAATTTAGTAACAGCAGAACACGATAACGTATAATCTGTTCGTAATTAAGAATCGGGTAAACGGGCAAGACAGGCGTACGTGTAGCCATCTATGTTAAAACAATTAACAGTCAACTCACTAATGGCATTCACGTATCCACTACACCCCGACGCGAATGGGTTAAGTAACTACAATGTTTTTTATATAAAACTACAAGGTAATTTGATAGTGGCTTGAAATCCTTTTTGGATAAGTTATATATAGTTTAGTGTTCCAGAGAGGGTCTTG